CCCGCCTCTCCTCTCTGCCCCCTCACCGCCCGTCATGCCACGCCCCCGCCAGCCCTGCGCAGAGGCCTGCGGGGACACCCTCCCCGCCATCCCGCCTTACTCTTAATGATTCTCCCTCAAACACCTGAACCACTGCCCACAGCCCCCAAAGCCCATAGCCTTCAGGCTCCACCTCCTTCTGACCCCTACCCTACCTCTAGGCCCCAAACCCCACCTCAAGACCTTAGGGCCCACTCTGCACAGCCCTTTGTTTCTTTCTCACCTCCACCTCTCCATCCCCAGGACCCTAGCAGTGCATTCCAATCTCACCGCTGCTCATTTGGACACAGTCCATCCAGTCCCCCACGCCCACCCCCGTCCCCCCTCAGTCTCCTCTCACCCTCCTCAGTCTGCCTTTCTTCCTACTTCTGGACCCCCCAGGCCCTATCCTTAGCCCCAGGCCCCTCCTTACCACCCCCATCTCAGCTCCTCACAGCACAGCACAAGCCCCTACTGCGCCTTGGCCCCACTTCTTTGTCCACACCTTACGTACCTTCTTCTGGGACCCTGCTTCTGCACCATGCTCCCCACCCTTCGCCCATTTCTTCCCAGGACTCATTCTTACCCTGCCCCCTAGGGCTTCTTAAGGCTTCATGTGTTCCCCCCTTCCAGTCCTCCTGCCCCTCACAGATGGCCTGGTGGCTTCTGGTCAAGCAGTGGGCAGTGGCACCTGCTTCCTCTTAGGTCCTGGCCACCCAGGGTCACCCAAACACCTTCCCCTACTTTGGGCTTCCTTGGCCTTTCACCTCTAGGAGATCTGACTTGGTGATTGAGGACCAGGGTGTGCCAGGCTCCCTGATTGAGGAGCCCCTGCATGCCCCTCCTTGGCCATCACCCATGTGAAATCTCAGGTATCCCCTCCTTACTTGGGGCGTTCTCACCTCACTTCCAGGTGAGGACGGGTGACAAGGGCCCAAGTGATGCCCCTATGCCCTGCAGGTCCTGAGGGCAAGGCCTTGAGCCAGGCCCACCTGCTGAGCATGGCCTGCCAGGTAGCTGAGGGCATGGGTTACCTGGAGGAGCGGCGTATTGTGCACAGAGACCTGGCTGCCAGGAATGTGCTCGTGGGAGACGACCTCGCCTGCAAGGTGGCCGACTTCGGCCTGGCCCGGCTGCTCAAGGTCAGCATGGTTTTGAGCTGAGCTCCAAGGCCGTTGGGAAGGCCCTGCACCCCCAGCTATTGCTTTCTCTCCTCCAGGATGACATCTACTCACCTAGCAGTGGAATCAAGATCCCTGTTAAGTGGACAGCCCCCGAGGCTGCCAACTACAGGGTGTACTCACTGAAGTCAGACGTGTGGTCCTTCGGCATCTTGCTCTTCGAGGTCTTCACCTATGGCCAGTGTCCCTATGAAGGTAGGCAGGTGTCCAGCGAAGACAGCCACCTTTTGTGGGATCCAGTCTGAGGGAGGAAATACAACCCATTCTGAGGGCTCATCTAATCAAAGGGAAGAGGCACCGGCTGTCTTGGGTTTAATCTGACAGAAGAGGCCTGCTGAGAGAAGAGTCTCAGGCTCCTTCCCAGGGCTCATCTAATCCAAGAGAGGAGCCTGGCTTGTCCTGGGAGCTAGCCTGAGGGAGAAGGCAATGAGAAGATCTGGAGGTGAGCAGGTGTCTGCTGTGACCTAGGCCTGTCATTGGTCCCCTTCCCAGGAATGACCAACCAGGAGACGCTGCAGCAGATCTCTCGGGGGTACCGGCTGCCACGCCCGGCCGCCTGCCCCTCAGAAGTGTATGCGCTTATGATGGAGTGCTGGAAGGGCAGCCCCGAGGAGCGGCCCACCTTTGCTTTGCTGCTGGAGAGGCTGGGTGCCAGCTACAGATGTCTCCATCTGGCCAGCACGTGACTGGACACCACATACCCTTCTGCAGTAGCTGTAAACATACACAGAGGTGATGAAGCTGGAATTCCACCCACTGACCACTTGCAGAGCTTTGAGTGGACCTCATGAGGTGCATGCACATGCATGCACAGGAGGGTCCACACACACATGCATGTACAGGAGGCCTGCATGCATGCACCGGAGGGCCTCCACACACACATGTGCATAGGAGGGCCATCAAACACACACGTGCATAGGAGGTTCTCCACACACACGTGTACAGGGGCCTACATGCATGCACCGGAGGGCCTCCACACACACGTGTACAGGGGCCTACATGCATGCACAGGAGGGCCTCCACACATGTGTACAGGAGGGCCCCCTATACGTGTGCAGGAAGGCCCACATTTTCATATGTGCACACACCTGCTCTAGGCAGGTTCCCTCCCTCCCCTCCACGTGAATTCGAGGGCATGAACTCAGCACAGAAAGCCTTGCAGTGTGGACTTTTGGCCCAGGTGGACACTGGGCAGCAAGGCCTCAGAAACAGGATTGTAGTGAGCACAGAGAGTATCCAAACCTGTGCACACAGAAGCCAACACCAATAAATATTTATTGTCTGACTCAGACGTGAAGCCCAGGGCCTGTTGCTCTTTTGGGTGGGGTGAGCAGAGGAGGAAGAGCTGAGCCTAGGACATCATGTACTGGACAGGGAGCCCCTGAAGTTACTAGGGGGAGCTGCAGAAGAGTGTGGGTCTCAGATCTGTGCCTTCCTAAGCACCTTTTCCTATAAATAACTGTAGAAGTATCAAGGTGTAGGCTGGGGGAAATGAAGACGCAGAGGACTTGACTGGGGTTCAGGATGAGGATGAGGGGCCAGAGGACTCTAGCTAGAGGGTCACTACTGGCCACAGAAGAGGATAGGTGTGTCCTTTGGGACCCGAAGTCCAGCCCCAGCTACTTGGATGGGTCCTGATGGGAGGAGGGAATTCCTGTGCGCCAGGCTGGGACCCAGGCAGAGAGATCTAGGGAGTCAGAGCACAGCTGGATGAAGAGGGATGCCAATAGTGACCTGAGTCACTTGAGTCCAGGGGCAGCTCAGCTGCCCCCAGTTGGATGGGTTTGGCATTCTTTTCCTCCTTTTTCTTGTTGTGTACCATCGAGTCAGATCCGACTGGCACAGGAGCACCTGCTGGATGGGTTTGGCAACCATAAACCTTGGGGAGCAGCTGGGACTTGTTGCTCTTGAAACTGAGCTACTTCCTGGTCTGGCTGACCCACACTCAGGTCACGTGTGTGCTGGTCCGTCTCCTTCCCTGCAGTGACGTTCTCACCATCTGCTTCCTGTGCAGCTCACGCTGGCTGTGTGGATAAAGACCTCTACTCTGGCCTCTCCAATCCCGACTAGCTTCTGTGCCCTGCAGCATTGGCTGTGGGGGTGGGGGTATCCCTGAGTTAGATGCAGGGTGGGGGATGACATACAGGGGAGAAGGAGCAGAACAGCCCGAGCTTCTGCGTGAGAAATGGAGTTTGGGAAATATGGGGCTGGAGGTGGGGGGTGAACTCAAAGAGATGGACAGGGCCCAAGAGGACTGGACCTTGACCAGGTAGACGGGACAGAGCAAAAGGGTGGTGGGCTCATCCAGGAGATGGAGACCTGCATCTGCAGAGCTGAGCCCAGGGTGGGCACTTCCCGGGAGCTTCTCTTGCCTGGACACCTCTGATGTCCTGTCTAAGAGGCAATGACCTTTTCTTGGAGTGCCTGCACCCCAGGACACGGCCCGCAAACAAGTTCATGGGATTCTCAGAGTCTGAGCCCACCATAGCTTCTTACAGATAGCGTTCCAGACCAGCCCTTGCCACCCCATCCTGGCAGCTGCGTGCATGTCTTATCTGATGACCCTGACCCAGCTCGTCCAGCCTGCTCTGGGCAAGTGCTCACTGAGCTGCTGGAGAACCCTCCAGGGAACCTCCATGGTGCTGGCACTTCTTCCCACAGGTGAGACTCTGGCTCAGGCTGACCTTGCACTCCAGGTCGCTCTGGTCCCACAGGTTCCTACCTGACCACACCCTGGCCTGCTTCACTCTTGGTTGTGCTCACAGGGCGCAGAGGGCTGTCCTTCAGTGTGTGAGGCGGGGCTACTGGGGCAACTTACTCTGGGGAGCCTGCAGCCCACTCGGGCCACCAGAGCATGGGAGCAGTTTGGAGACAAGCCTTCTTGGCCCCTGGTGGCTCATTCCAAACCGAGATGGGGTGTGACTGCACTCCTAGCCCATTCCTACCCCTCAGGCTCACATTCCTGAATGTCAGCTGCTAACTCAGTCCTTCTGCAGTGGTCTCAGCAGGTCCAGCTGAGTGACCACCTTGGAGGGGGGATGAGGTCATGTGTTTCCCATAGGGATAGGGTAGTGGCCATTGTGGGTGTGGCCTGGTAGAGGTGGGCTCAAGTCTTTCTTAGTGCTGGCCATTTATGGGCATGGTCAGCCCACCTGTCTCAGGAGGAAGTAGGAGGGCCCTGGCTGGGTGGGAAGACCTATTGGGAGTTTCCCCGCCCTGATGCTCAGCAACCCAGCTGCCACTGTGTCTCCGTGCCACTCCTGTCCTTGCCCCTGTCCCTGAGGGTGAGGCCTCTACTCTCACCTTGCTATCTACGGCTGGGGCAGGATAGGGCACCCTGTACCTCTCACCCTGCTGTGAGGATAGGGCACCCCTACGCTCACCCTGCTGTCTGTGAGGATGGGCACTCTTGTACTACTCACCGTGCAGTCTAAGGCTGGGGCAGGGTCAGGCACCTCTGTACCCCTCACCCTCCAGTGAAGATAGGGCACTCTTGTACTACTCACCGTGCAGTCTAAGGCTGGGGCAGGGTCAGGCACCTCTGTACCCCTCACCCTCCAGTGAAGATAGGGCACTCTTGTACTACTCACCCCGCTTACTATGGGGCTAGGGCAGGATCAGGCACCCTAGTGCTCCCCGTTTCAGCCCTTGTCTGTCCCTGCGGCATGAGCCAGAGCCCTTTGCCCCATTGTGATGACTGGGAGCGGCCTCGGGAGGAGTTCAGTCTTTGCAGGAAGCTGGGCTCTGGCTACTTTGGTGAGGTCTTTGAAGGGCTGTGGAAAGAGCAGGTCCGAGTAGCCATCAAGGTGATTGCCCGAGGTAAGTGGGCTCAAGGGGACTTTGTGCCCTCTCCTTCTGCCCTGCCAGTACCCACAGCCCTGGCTCATCTGGCATTACCAAATAATGCCTTTAGAAGAGTTTTGAGTCCTTAGCATAAAACAGAGTGGTGGTAACACAAGTCCCCAGAGCCAGGAAACATTTGCCCCAGTTGTCTGTGGTTTAGGCTTCAGGCTGCCTAACGGAGTGGGGCTAGCAAGTGGAGGGTCACTGGGGTCTGGGGTGTCACAGTGACCCTGTCCTGTGAGCACTGAGGGGCGATGTGATGGACTGTGGGTCAAGTCAAGGCCAGCCCACTAGGGCCGGCTGGGTGCTGCAGCCACCAGTTTCCATCCACAGATGACTTGCTACACCAGCACACGTTCCAGGGAGAGAACCAGGCCATGAAGAGGCTGCGGCACAAACATATCCTGGCGCTGTATGCCATGGCATCTGTGGGGGATCCCGTCCGTGTACATCGTCACAGAGCTGATGCCCAAAGGGAGCCTGCTGGAGCTGCTGCGTGGTAAGGTCACAATACACGTCAACACGGCACCTGACATCACGTGACATGCCCACATGGTGCTGAGGGGGCACACACATTCACACAGCATCTGACACTCATGACATGCTCACATGGAGCTGATTGGACACATTCACACAGCCTCTGACATGGCATGGCACACCCAAATGACACTGGACATGATGACAGGCCCACATGACACTAATGGGACACACACATTCAGTGTCTGACTCAAAGGCACGTCACTGGTGAAACGTGCCACTGCTTCCTTTACCACCAAATCCAACTAGCCAAAGCCAGCCTTTGTGAATGAAACTCAAGCACGAGTCCCCTCAGAGTGCTGATTTTAGAAATGCTAATCTGGGATGTACTTTGTGTGCTGGAACAAGGTGATTTTGGACTGTCTCTATGGATACTTGTTAGGTCATAGGGTGTGGGGTTGGCTGTACCATACATAGGATATTTGCAACTCTCTGAATGTGAAATTCTGACACTTGTCATGTAAGGTTCAGTCAGCTCATGTGCTGCTAGGAGTTGTAGTCAGTTTGGTGGTCCCTGATGGCAACACTTCTGATCTGAGCTTGACTGCTGTGAGCCCTGCCCCCAACATGAGAAGCACCCAGAAGCCAAGCGCTGACCAGTCTGTTTGTGTAGACTGCCCCCTTCTGCTGCCAGTGTTGTCAGTAATGCTACAGTGAACAATCTGAACATAAATCCTTGCCCAAGTTCTGTCTGCACTGATCCCAGAGGCAAACTCTGGACAAAGGGATGCGCTTTCAGGTTCTTGGTAATGAATGGCTGCAACCTGGTCCATGGTCCCAGGTGCCTTTTCCCAAGCCTAGGTGGTTGGGTCCAGCTGAACATGGTTGCCTGCCCCATTCTACAAGAGCTGGTCCCCCTGTAACATCTCAGCTGAGACGGGTCCCCTACAGCCATCTGACTGCCCCATGCCCTCTGACCAGCTGACCTTGTTGTAATGTGCCATCGAGCTGCTTGTGACTCATAGCGACCCTATGTACAAGAACCCTAAATGCTGTTCTATCCTGTGCCAACCTCACCGTCTCAAACACACTTATTACCACCACTCCACTCACAGAATCGATCCATCTCATCAAGGGTCTTCCTCTCCTGTGCCGTCCCTCCACTCTCCCAAACATGATGTCCCTCTCCAAGGACCAGTCCCTCCTTGCAACATGCCCAAAGTATGTCAGACGAAGCTTCAGAATCCTTGACTCCAAGGAGCATTCTGGCTTCACTCTCTCCAGGACGAAACTGTTCTCCTAGCAGTCCATGGTATATTCAACACTCTTCTCCAGCACCACAGCTGAACAGCATCAATTCTCTTTCCATCATCCCTATTCACTGTCCAACTCTCACATAATTGCAAAGGCTATAGCCTGGATCAGGCGCACCTTAGTCTCCAGTCTGATGTCATTGCTCTTCTGTACTCTTGAGAGGTCCCTCACAGCTGACTTTCCCAATGCAATTCATCTCCTGATTTCCTGGCTGCTGTTATCAAGAGTGTTGACTGTGGAACCAAGCAAACTAAAACTGTTAACTATCTCAATCTCTTCACCATCCATACTGATGCTACCAATTGACTCAGTGGTGAGAATGTTTTCTTGATGTTGAGCTTCAATCCATATTGAAGACTGCAGTCCTTGAAGCAGCAAGCGTTTCAGGCCCTCCTCAATTTCAGCAAGCATGGTTGTGTCATCCACATAACACCGGTTATTGATTCTTCCACCAATCCTGATGCCACATTCCTTTTCATGTGTCCCAGATGATCTGTTCTGCATACAGATTGAAAAGGTATGAAGACAAAATACATCCCTAATGGGCCCCTTTCTTGATTTTGAACCATCCAGTGTCTCCCTGCTCTGTTCTGACGACTGCCTCTTGGTCCAAGTATAGGTTTCACACTAACATTAGCTAAAATATCCCTAGTACCACGACCTCTTCTAAAGCCAGCCTGCACATCTGGCTGTTTGTTCTCTGTTGACATACTGTTCCAAACGTTTTTGGATAATTTTCAGCAGAATCTTGCTTGCATGTGATATCAATGATATTGTTCGATAATTTCCACACTCTGTTGGGTCACCTTTCTTTGGAATGGGAACAAATATCGATCTCTTCCAGTCAGTTGGCCAGCTGGCTGTCCTCCAGATTTCCTGGCACAACTTAGTGAGCACATTCAGGGCAGTGTCTGTTTGTTGAAATAAATCAATCGGCATGCTGTCAACTCCTGGGGCCTTGTTTTTTGCCAATTCCTTCATAACCACTTGAACTTCTTCCTTCGTCACCATAGGCTCTTGCTCATATGCTATTTCATGAAATTCCTGTGTCAGCCAATTTCTTCTGATACAGTGACTCTGTGTACTCCTACCATCTTCTTTTTATACATCCTGGATCATTCAACATTCTACCCAAACTATCTTTAAGTATTGCCACCCGTGGCTTGAATTTGTTTTTCAACTCCTTCAGCTTAAGAAACGCTGAGCGAGTCCGGCCCTTTTGATTTTCTGACTCCCGCTCTCTGCACATTTCATTATAGTATTTTGCTTTGTTGTCCCAAGCTGCCTTCTGTTCAGCAGCATGATATGATCAGAATCTGAGAAATCCTGATTGCTTGAGACTTAGGCCATCACATCAGAGGCTGGTCAATGGGAGACGGGTGTTAAATGTTGTACGCAAAAGTTGGAAGGGTTGGTGGTGAAGTAGGGAAAGGGTGGGTTAAAAAAAACCCAAAGAAACACCACCCCCCCAAAAAAAAAACAAACCCAAACAAACACAGCCAGGTGGGCAGCAACACTGAATACTGGTCTTTCTCTAACTGGTAAATGTCTTTCATCTGCTCTTTTCTGTAGAATGCTTGTCTGTCAGATACTATTATATTTATAGTTGACCTTGGCTCCCCTTATTTGCAGACTCTGATGAGAAAGCACTTCCTGTCTCAGAGTTGGTGGACATTGCATCACAGGTGGCTGAGGGCATGTGCTACCTGGAGTCCCAGGACTACATTCACAGGGACCTGGCCGCCAGGAACATCCTTGTAGGGGACAACAACATCTGCAAAGTGGGGGACTTTGGGCTGGCCAGGCTCATCAAGGTAGGGTCAGGGGTGGTGCTTCCTCTGTGCAGATCTGGGGAAGGCTGAAGCTGCCAGTGGACACAAGATTAGCAGGTGTCCTTATGGGGAAGAGGGAGGCCAGGTCAGGATTCCCTTGAGGCTGCCCACAGCTAGGACAGATGAGCAAACGAGGTGAGTGGGGTGCCTGGAGTTCAGGTGACCAGGATGTGTGGCTGGATGAGGAGAAGCAAGGGCTCCAGGCCTTGGCAGTGGAAACATCCTCCCCCTCAGTTCAGTCCCCACTGTGCTGGACGCTGTCGGCCAGGCCCATGGCATTTCTATCTCAGAGCCAGGGACAAATGTATGGTCCCACCTGGCCTGCGGATGGCCCATCTGTGCCCCACCCCCCATGCCTGGAAACAGTGCCTCCAGCAGCACAGGATGCTGATACCTCAGCTTCATGCTCTTGGGGTGACCCTGGCACATGTCTCCTGTAGGAGGACATCTACCTGTCCTATGACCACAACATCCCCTACAAGTGGACGGCCCCCGAAGCACTGTCCAGAGGGCACTACTCCACCAAGTCGGACGTCTGGTCCTTTGGGGTTCTCCTCCATGAGGTTTTCCGCAGGGGTCAGATGCCTTACCCAGGTACCGGCCCACAGAGTCCCAGTGCAGGGAGAGCAGGATGGGCACCAGCTGGCCAGGGTGAGAGGTAACGCCCTGGGGTGAAGAACACGCCTGCTGATCTCCAGGCCTCAGGTCCCAGCAATGGCACAGGCCTGCTTGCCAGTATGGTACACTGGCCAGAGCTAGGAAGGATGTGCTGAGGGTACTGGCATTCCTCTTGTCCACAGGAATGTCCAACCATGAGACCTTCCTGAGGGTGGACTCCGGCTACCGCATGGCTCGCCCCCTGGAGTGTCCACCGACTGTGTACAAGCTGATGCTGGCCTGCTGGCAGCGAGACCCCATGCAGAGGCCCAGCTTCTATGCACTCTGGGAGAAGCTCTTCAGCTTTACCAAGTACGAGAACCCACTCTGAGCAAGCGAGGCCCTGTCCTGTGAGAGCGGCAGTGGACTTGGCGCCTGAGTGAGGCAGCCACGGCCTCAGATCTGCCAGTGAGTTTACCAGGAATGGTCCGGACTCTGGGAGGATCAAGCTGGTGGAGCCAAAGATCTTGTTCTGGGGGCCACACTTGGCTCCTGGGATAGCAGGGAATGGCTGTGGCAGGGCCTCCCATTCCTCCAGAAAGTAACAGCCCTCTTCTGGAACTGTGGGGGCTATTGGCAGAAACCAAGCCCAGCTGAGGACCTAGGGATGGAGGGTAGCTTCTCCTGTTGCCCTCGTTCCCGGACTGCAAAGACAACCAGACGTGTGTGAGGGGGCCTAGATCACAGCAGCTCTCTCTTCTGGGACCCAAGGGGTGGTGAGGCGAACGGCCAGGGCCATGGCGGACACCCAGCTGGATTAGTAGGAGCTGTGTACTCAGTCATCCTCAGCAGCAACCCCTCAAGCTGCCTCAGGAGACAAGCAAGGTGCCTTCCTCACTTGGCCTTGGACCAGCCGCCAGGAACCCAGGCACAGCAGCAGAGGGAGCTGGGATGCAATCACGCTTGCCGTGCCCAGAACCATACCTGGACACTTTCTGTGGATTCAAACACAGCTGTTTACAGTACAAGTGGAGGTAGGGCACCCCACCTTTCTGGACTCCTTGAGCTGTGTAAGCCCCATCCCCTCAATAAACTGTCCTCTGAAAGGCAGTATGTTTGGCACTGTAATTAATTATATGAATAAATTGTGATTCATGTTATAAACTGTCTAGGAATATAATATAAAGGTAAATGAAAACCTGTACTGGATAAAAAATAAGCTGCTCTCGAGAGCCTTGGTGTTCACCAGCCTTGGGTCTAGTCCTTAGGGGTCATGAGGTTTGAAACACGGGATCTAACACTTGCTGGAGATCTTTGGTCAAAGAGCCTTTGGTCACCCAAACTCAAGTGTGCCTAGTCACTCAGAGCCCTGGCTGGTCATCTCCTATACCCCTTTGTGTCTGGGTCGCTCAGAGTCCTGGTTGGTCACCTGTACCCATGAGTGCCTGGGTCACTCAGAGCCCTGGGAATGAGCAGAGCCAGTACCTCACCTGAGGAACCAAAGTGTCATGTCCTCCTGCCCATCAATGAACCTGTCTTGGGCAGCTGGGGTCAGGGTGTAGGCCTGAGAGCTGGGGGACCCCTTCCTGGGCTTTGTTCCAGAGGGCTAAAGAGTTGGTACCTCTATATCCTCCCTGACAGTGTGGCCCAGTGGGTAGCACAGAGGTTGGGCAGGGTCACACAAGTGCACGCGTGCACACACACACACTCACACAGCAGGTCCTGGTGATATAGGCACAAACATCACAGCCGGTTGGTGGCTTCAAGTTTATTTCCACTTGGGGAGGATAAAACAGCTATGGATATTCGAAAAGCTCATGTGTGATTAGACAGTAAAGAATGTGGTTCTCTCAACTTTTTGGTCTTTTGCTTTTTTGAAATAGAAAGAACCACCCACTTTTGCACTTGGTGCACCTGCCTAGTCTATGGGGTGGGGCAGGGAGGTGCTGACAGAAGCCCCTCAGGAAGGCGTCGGTGGTGGTGGTGTCGGTGCCCTTTCAAGAGGAGCCCGGGGCCAGCGCCGCCTGGGTGCTGCCAGGCTGCTTCCTTGTGTTGCCCTGGGCCAGGTCACAGGCGACCACACTGCCAGAGGCCTGGGGTCGCAAGCGCTCTGGGGACTCCAACACAGTGGCCATGAATGGGACACTGGTCTTCCCGAAAAAGAAGCTGGCCCACCAGTGGCCCGGGTCAGCCTTGGGGAGCCCTGGGGGAAGCAAGGCAGAGTTAGGGTGTGACTGGCAGTCCTGAGGTGCTTGGCCAGCTGGCACAGGACTGGCTGCCCTTCCAGAGCTGGGGGTGGGGGGGCTGTACTCACCTGGGTAGTGGGGAATGGCTTCCCCCGGGTACTCAGTGCTTCCACAGGAGCTGTTACTGGAAGTGGATCCCAGACGGCCTGAGGAGGGGAGGCAGGTCAGCAGGACAGGGGCTCTGACCGCTAGCCTTCCAACCACGGCCTGTCACAGCAATGATAGGGGCCCAATTCCAGGAAGGAATCTCAAGGAACTGGGAGCATGGATCACGGTGGCTAACTAGGTGGCCTGGAGGGCAGGCGGCCACCGTCTGGTCTCAGGGTGCGGGGCTGGGGCACGCAGGGCAAGGGTCCCTACTCACGCCGGTAGTAGTCGTGGGTGGCCACAAGCGAGCCGCTGGAGGGGATGGCTGCCATACTCTTGTCGTGGCTTGGTGGACACCTACGCACGGGTGGGCGGGGTCAGGGGACCCGCTGGGGCCAGAGCTCCCCGCGGGCTGAGGCTGCAGCGGCGGCGGGCGGGGCCGGGGTGCAGGCCCGCCTTCCCGCGCCGCCAGTTCCAACCGGCCTGGGCCGGCCGCACGGACGAAACAAAGGCGTTTTGTGCACGGGTTGCCGGCGTCCTCGGTCCTGGGACCCGGCCGTGCTGGACACTCACAGGCTTCCCGCCGCAGCCGCGGTACACCCAGTGCCCGCCCGCGCTGCAGCCGGACCGGAGGAGGCCCTGCGCACCCCGCATCCCAGGCCTTACCTCGGCAGCGACCCCTCGGGCCTCGGCGCGATCACGGGTGGCAGGACACCGGGAGGGAAGAAAAAAGCCCCTAAGCCACGAAGCCCATCTGCGCAGGAGATCGCGGAAACAGAGTCCAGCACCGCGACGTGCGCGCACCGTGCGCACACGCACACCCGCTGACTTATACGTGCGGCGTCGTGAGGGCGGGGCGACAGGCCACGCCCCAGGGCAGACCACGCCCCTGCGTGCGGCACCGCCCCCTTCTGGGCCCTGAGGTGTTTTTTTGTTTTTTGTTTTAATTAATTTTAATGAAACATTACAGAAACTTAGGGTTTCCATTCATTGTTGCACTTATCTCCCTATACCCCCTCCCCCCCAATTCGCTCTTCTCTTTGAAAAGTAAAATTCTTTCATTGTTATACAATCCCTCCCCCAGGTCCACTCCAAAGTGCAGCCTTCATTCTGGCCTCCAGTCATGACAATAATACCTAATCACATATTCCTTTTAAACAGTTCTCTCCCTCATTTGTTTCAATACAATTTTCTTTATTTATTTCCTCTTGCTCAGTTTTCCCTCAGCCCCAATGTCAGTCCTGTTTTACAACAGTGATCCTATGCACTATTTGTCCTTTTGTGACAGAGATATTTCACTCAGCATTATGTCCTCCAGGGTCACTCATTTTGTAGAATATTTCCCGAGTTCCTTGTTTTTCGATGCAGCATAGTATTCCATTGTGTGAATATACCGCAACTTCTCTATCTATTGGTTTGTGGATGGGCACTTGGGTTGTTTCCAGCTCTTAGCTATTGTGAACAAAGCTGCAATAAACATGAGTGTTCATATATCTGCTTGAGTGATGCTTATGGTTTCTTTAGGGTATATTCCCAGTAGTGGAATTGCTGGGTAAAATGGTATTTCTATTTGCAAGTTTTTGAGAAAGCACCATACAGCCTTCCACAATGGTTGCACCATTTTACACTCCTGCCAACAATGAGTAAGGGTTCCAGTGTCTCCATAACCTCACCAGCATTTGATGTTTCCTTTTCTGTGAAATTTTGCTATTCTTACTGGGGTGAGATGATATCTTACAGTTGTTTTGATTTGCATCGCTCTTACAGCTAGGGATTTTGAACATTTCTTCATGTGCTTGTTGGCCACTTGAATGTCTTCTTCAAAATGAAGTGTCTGTTCATATCCTGTGCCCATTTTTCAATTGGGTTATTTACCTTTATCTTGTTGTGGTGCTCGAGTATTTTATAAATTCTAGATACAAGTCCCTTGTCAGACATGTCATTACCAAATATTTCTTCCCAATCTGTGGCTTCCCTTTTTCCCTGTTGAAGAAGTTTTTGGATGTGCATAGGGATTTG